TGAATTTACCTTATTAAACTTTATTGTTTATCAATTTTTTTAATTCTCACACACATGGTTCATCCATTATATACCAATGCAATGTGTGAATAAATTACATTATTTCACTAAAATTTAACAAAAATTGAAACGGTTGAAATGGAACACCCTATAGAAGAACGTATACGAGCCAGGTCATCGTTTCACCCTGGACAGTTAATCGTTTCTGTACCCAAATTGAAACTGTTGACTGGACGAGGTTATTTAGTTCTAAGGAACGTCTAACAGCGGTTGGATATTAACCGGAACGTAGCCGTAGTCTCGTTACTCGGTAAATTGATTTCCTCTATTATTCTCCGACCAATCGAGCTTTGATGGAAAATTTATTGTTTATACCTGTGTATTGTGTTAGTAATATCAGCAGAGGTACTATAATACATAAGAATTAATTAGAAACCGTAATTAGAATTCCTATCATTTTCCCCAGAAATGGAATTAATTTGACGAATTTAAAAATGAAAGAAAAATATCTTCCATCCGAAGTATACGTAACTTTATTTCCCGACCGTACACCGTCGTCCAACGTAATAAACTGTCAGGAAATGTAACGCGAGCGGATCGCAGAAGCATCCATATCGCGATGCATCTGTCGTTGACACTATCGTTCCGTTTTCTCCTGCTTCACTTCCGGTCAACGTTCAGCCGATCGGTCTCTCCCGCATTCTTCGGTTCGCCTCTAAACCCATCATGTTTCTTCCTTTCGTACCGTTATGAACTATGACAGGTCCGTAGTAAATCCTGCACGTCGAACCCTCGGTCTATCGATCGGCCTCGAATCCACGCTGATTGCTGGTCGCCGAACCGAAACGATCCTCCGTGACCCCGCCATTCGATCGCAAGCTCATGCTAATTATTTCACTAGGAACGCTTAATGCGGCGAAGCGAAAAGCTTGATAAACCTGAGATGTAAGAATTAGAAATGAAATTTTTCGTCTAATCCAGCGAATGGCTTATTAATTGCCATTTCTTTTCGACGCCCAATACGGAAAGCTTATCGGGATGCAATTTCGTTTCTCGCGAGTCGAACAAATCGTCGGTTGTACATATATCAGTGGGCGTACTCTAGAATCTCTTCTTGTTCGCTCCGCCTAGTTTCTCGCTGGTGATTCAACGCGATCGAGAAAAGAAACAGAGATCGTAGGATGATATTTTTGCGAACGTTCGGACCATTAGCCGCATGGTGAAAAATAAAAGGACGGAGGAACGTTTTAATCGAACTGGCTGGAATTACACGGATGCTGATGTCGAAGGTGGAGGGAAAGCACTGCAATTATGATGTTACTCGGTCGATTTATTAAACACGCGACCTACGAGCTCCTTCCTTGGTTAATTAACGGTTACCGCTTGTCGTCTTCCATCGTTGCTAATTAAATTTACATGACAAAGTCGTATTCCGAAATCGATTTTCAGCTTTGAAGTCTTATTAGCGAGCTGACTGTGCCAAACACGTATTAAAGTAATGAATTCAAATTTCTGACCTTTTTGATTAATTAACCATTTGTATAAAAATGAAAAATTTATCCTATTACAATTCGACGATAATTAAAAATTTTAAAGAACCCAATTGAAACTCAACAATTATAGTTCAGGTTATTTTAAGTAATAAATTTCTTCACTTGACTGAACTGTAAACATTTTCTCGTCGAACCACAACTAAGATAAATTAGCAGCGAAGGTATCGGGATGTCGGTGAACACACGGCCACATTAATTCCCAAGTAAGGCCTTAGTTGAACTTAGCATGTATCCTAGGAAGCGGGAATTTCGGTTCTAAATCTTGGCCGAGTCATAAACTCCAATCCGAGTACGAAATACAGCATGCAGTAACGGTAATCGAGTAATTACCGTCACCCTTTGAACCGTTCGCTGTCTGGTGTAACCAAGAAGCTGCTGTTCTCATTTTACACCTCTGTTTACAACATATCAGATGTTTCTTGGTTTCATCTGTGAATCTTACATGTATAGATCAGAGTTGGATTAGGCTTTAAATTCTGATAAAACAAATTAGTCATTGATTACCATAATTACCAATTTTTCATTAAATTTTAACCTTCAAATCGCTACCTGAAAAGTCCAATTTCACGCTACTTTTATATCATGAAACGATATTCAGAAATGCATCGTTCAATATTCAGCAACTTTCAATTTTACGATAGTCGATAAACGTTCCACTTCAGAAACAAAAATTGATCACCATATAAATCGATGTTCGAATGTAATATCTATCGTTTATCATCCTTTGGCAAAGGGAAAAACAAATATTCAGCATCCTAACATTTTCACGCATCAGGTGAACGAGTGGAACGCTGACGTATCAAAGCGCATATCTCATAAGTGAAGTTAACGTTGAACACGCTTGCAGATTATACAAGCATAATCGAGGGTGCATGGAGGATCCACGATGAGCATGCCCTCTTCATTGAAACGGTGTACATCCGGTGCGCGCGTGCATCGGATATCCGGTGCATTTCCAAGCGGAATGTAACCGCGCTTTGAACCTCAGCTTTGCCGTTTAGCGAATGCAGCTCCCTTCGTCGAACGCTTTTTTTTTTCTTTTTTTTTGAACCGCTTTGTAGGTCAACAGAAATATGGCGATGACAGAATTTGAACTGTAAATTCATATTTTAATTTTTAAACACAGCCATTCGGTATTAAAATTCGGACACGGTTGTATTTAATTATTGCTCGACATTCGCGTTAATAATTATGTTACAGAAATAAAATTTGCATTCAACAGGACATACTTTCACGCGGATTTGCAAAATTGGATAGCTTTCCTTATGTCGACTTTTCTGTAATATCGTCGCCGTGCTGTTTGTATTAAGTCGAATTAGCGTTAAGAAAGCTTGTATAATCCTGTTATTCCGGACCAGTTGCTGTTCTTTATATGACTACTTAATTAACAGTGATGCATTCTAATTCCAGGCTTTACTTTTCGGACGAGGACAGGGACTATGCCAATTACGACCGGTACAATTAGCTTTCCCTCGTACAATCCACTTCTCCCGTGGCAATTACACGCGAAAGCTTAATAGTTAGCTGTTCCCTGGCAATGTTACTTAAAAATTCGTTAATTGCTCTTATACCGATTCCGTGGCGAAGAAACTTCCTCCTCGTAATTCGAAGATAAATTCGTAGACGTTACAGTTACATGATACTTTTTCTCTCCTTTCTTCGAACCAGTTAATTGCACCTTAGGAAACAAGTTAGCGCATGTAACAAAACAATTTCAAATTGAACTTCCTTGAACGTGCACAATTATTTGAAATGAATGAATCTATTTTCACTTTTAATTTAGAAAGTAATTAATATTTAAATAACATATTGAGTATTTAAAATTTCTTTCTTTTTTAAATTCATTATTTGGTCATTAGTTTATTTTAATATTTTTTATTAAATGTTTAGACAAAATTCTGTGAAATATTAAAATTGATGGTATCTGATTAATTGGTATCATTAAAGCGTAATGCATTTACATTTACACGGCGCATGAAAAGAAATTGTTTGCTTTGGGAGGAAATAGTATACAACTATTCGATAATTGCCCGGTACGAACAGCAAAGATTAATGGTAAATTTATACGGGGTTAAACGGCCCTCTGTTCCCGTTTATATCCATGTTGGAAAATTACGTCACAGGGATAATTTATCTTTGGCCGAACACGCGTCGAGAAGTTGCTTTTCGCGTGTTTCGCTTTTATTTATGGGGCTATCTACCTTTGCCACGGATAATTTGCAGTTATTAATTCGGTGGATCGTTCGACGTTTCCGAACTGATACTTTGAATCTTCGTTTAATGATATGTTTCTATGCTTGTTAATTTGTAACGTAAACATATTATTTCCGCTGAGTTTGATTACAAAACTGATCAATGTGCAATATATTTAGTAAATGAAGTATCATGATGTAATTATTCATAAATTATTAGGTGTACAAATTAATTCGGTACCTTTGATATTAAAAGTAAATTGGTGATTAATTTGGAACTTTGAAAATATCCGAAAACTGGGAAATGAAGTTGAAACTATTTCAACGTTCCATAAAATGTATCGATTAAAAATTGCACGGTGGACGATAAATCGTGAGATTCTTTCACAGGAACCAATAACCCGGCACTTTTAAATTATGTATTTAGCTGCGGGCTACAGCTATTTCAGGGGAATGCAGTCACATTTTTTGTACCTTCGGCTACTGTAATATCATCCACGTTCAAGCTTTAGTTATTTTATACTCTTCGAAAGACAATTTATTTTTTATTTTTTTATCCCCCGATATTACATTTTTTCGGAAAAAAATTTAATCGATTACTTCGTTTACTTCACACTAGAGATTATACACTGTTTGGAGTCTCGCGATCAGACGAGGCTTCCCTAGAGAAAACGGCGATATAGGAAAAGCGGTGATCAGTATTTCAAGAAAGGGTATCGCGATGCGTAGATGAAATTTATCGACAAAACATTTCCCAATGTATTGATCCCGGTGGAATGTTACAATATACCAAGTCCGGTGAATCGCTGCAAAACAATTCCTTTGGTTAACAACGGTGTCGATAGCGAACAGTGCAATCAGCTGGAAGTGCAAAGTTACCCGACCGGAACTCGATAGTCCGTAACTGTGAAACCCGTGAGATGTACGTTCGCGCGTAGTCGTTTCGAAGTTTACGTGACGAGACAGCACAGTTATCAATTGCCACAAAGTTTGTGCCGCTTCGTTCTGGTGTTTTTCTTCCTTTCAAACAATTCCATAATTACGTAATTACATTTTATAAAATTACACAAATTTCATTTTCTAAATTATTCTAATATCAGTATCTTCAAAATGAAAATTCTGAGAAATGTAATATTAAAATTTCTAATTAATTTTAACTATATATCGAATTTTATAATAATTAATATTAGAATTCTCAGGAATCTAATTTTAAAGATATTAAGATTAATTTTGAAAAAATTAACACAGTTTTAAATTTAATTTAAACAAAAATTACCGTAAGGTCTGTTCTCACATATGAATGATAGAGCCTCTTTTTCCTACATCACCATTTTCTCTAAAAGAGCCTACTATGCTCGGTATTGCACATGCATGGTTAAACAAAGGAATGTCAGAAACGAGTCAAAGTTTGCAGATAAAGGTTAAAATGAAGTCGTATCAGTGAACAGCTTTTCGCAGTTCTTGAAACTAATTACAAGAAAACGTAGCTCATCGTGCTTTCTCTTTCACGTAAAGCTGAGCGTCGAGTTGGTAAATCGAGGAAAAGTCGGCTTAAGCCTTGTGTTGACTTTTCGGCTTTGCAAGCACTTGCTGGTAAATTGCAAGCGTTGAATGGTGCTACGATACACAGCTTTTGAATCGTACGTGTTCTGTAAAGACTAGGACTCAATATTGCTTATACCTTGCCATTTCGTTATGATTTTATTTTATCGATTGTTATCGACAGCTTTCTAATAGTCTGCTTTGCTTTCTTTCTAGGTAAGAACCCGCCATTTTTAATAGATCCGACGCTATTCCAGTGAAAGGTAAAGTAATCTTTACTTCTTGAAAAATAAAATTGTTAGTTATAATCGTTTCTTTGAAATTAAGTAATTTAACTTTTAATTATTTTATCTAATTAATAGAAAACAAATGCGATTACAGAATCTCTTATTATATGTTCGCTATTAGAGATATTAATTTTTAATATAAACGTGTCATCATTTCCATAAAAATGATCGTCAAGGTTTAAAATTAAAATTCAATTATAAATGCTACGATTGTATCTTTTCGGTGACCGTGTCACTCCATATTCAGTTCTACAGAGGAAATTGATCATCATTGAAATTTCAAAGCCAATAATACATAATGCATTTATGATGCACCGATGCACAAAAATGCATAAACTCATTTCCAAAAGATGTACCAATGATACCATTTAATTTAATTAGTAAATCCAAAAGTACAGGATTCAATTTGAAAAACAAAATGCAACTGCATTTTTCTGATGCACCGATGCACAAAAATGCATGCACTTATTCCCAAAATTATGCATCACCGACACCATTTAATTTCGTCTTACGACTTTTCTTCTATTTCTAATCCTTTTTAAAAATAAAAATCCTTTTTTTAATAGTTTGTTTTATATATACACATTGAATGTATTGAAAATATTTGTTCGGATATACGATGCTTTTACTCTGATATCGTTACGGTGGCTCGCAAAACAGGTGGACAATGAGCTAGGTCGAGAATGTGGTTTCCAAATAAATGACCTCGTTCTTCCTCTCGGTTACATGAGGGGTGGGTCGGAGTGCATTTCGCGTTTCCTGGATTTCGTTGGTTTTTAAATACATCTCCGTAATATTTGCTTCGTTGTTTCGGTAAAATGTTTAAAATATTTTTAATTAGTCCACCTATTATTCCATTGCACCTCTGAATGTTTTAATCCCGTGTATCCTCCAAGGCTCAAGCTTCGTTTAGTACAGTGGTATGTCAGAGAGGAGAAAATTTTCAAATATACATTTTATCTCTAATTGGATATTCTCTTTAACCATCTTGGAAATAATTGTAGCAATGAGAATAAGAGAATGTATGTTTGAAAATATTATTAAAATATTATGATATTTAACAATAAATTAAAAATTAATGATTTTTGTAACAGATTTTAATAACAGACCATTGAATTTAATTTTCATTCTATTACAAATTTATAAAACTTACGTTTTCGTCTGAATAGCGAGAGTGATTAATTAGTAGAAGCTCGATAAACGATCAAAGTGCAATGTAAAGGGATTACGAAAGCGAAGCAGCAAACGATGTCCGACAGAAACGCAGTCTGTGTATCTAGCCGGCTGTTCTGTGCCTAATTAAACCGAGGTTGACTCATTACCGTCAGTGAGATCTAGCTAACAAGCTAGAAAGGGAGGGTTTTAACATAGACTCCAGTTGCCATCATTTCCTGGTGATAAGACTATCACTAGCCACAATTTGCAGATTATTCAAGGTACAACTTGAAATGAAATTTCAAAATTATCAGCTAATTAATTTTTAGAGTAGTATAATAGTATACTATTACAGTCATACATACTACTATAATACTTTTTTTAATACTTTAATAAATAAAATTTTGTTTGTTAAAAAAACAGCCATGTCGAGACTTGTAATCTTTAAATTTAATTATACATAGTATCTACTATAGTTGTCCTCAGTAGCTGATTACTTGCGTTTGAATATTTCTATAAACATACTCTTGAGAGAAACGGAATTGTATGATCAGCTGAGTAAAGTTCGCCAGTTATAGGCGTTCCCCAGGAAATTGCTATCGTTTAATTCCTTTTATACGCAAAGTAGATCTCTATAAAGTAATAGCAACTACGGTATTACGTGGAAGCTTATTCATAATGCTCTGCCATAACCAGAACACGACTAGCTCCATTAAGTGTACCAGACGGATTATGCGCACCCATTTAGAACTGAGTTAAACTTCAGCTGCGCGTAGAAATCCTTGACAGTGATCCACAAATTGCAGTCAAGTACACGTATCGTGTGGACTTTGTAGCGTGGTTTAATGAGCACGAAGGAAGGATTTTGTATTTTTATAATTATACCCAATTTTCATTCAAATGATACACTGGTGAACATTCCATTCAGTCCTTATCAATGTAGATATAAATGTACAGTTAGGGGCAATGTAGACTTCTTTCGGTTAAAATGAAGCATTGTGCTAAAATTCATCCATGTTTTTTAAGGGAAAAGATAAGAAATTTTTAAAAAAACTTAGGGAGAATAATAAGTGGCTCCTCCTGCATTTGCTCTGAATTAAGAGAAGGCTACGTTGCTTCACACTGTACAGTCGCTTGCAACTTAAGTTTCTCTCGATCAAAGGAGAGATTACGTATAAGCATAAAGGAATTTAAATTATCTTTTTCCAAAAGCAAATGGTTTCCCTCTGTCCTGAGGAAAGTCATTTTCCAAGTTCATCAATCAAGGGTGCTCTCGATGTTCAATATTCCTAGAGCCTCAGAAATCTTAATCCTGTATTGGAATGATAAAATGGAAAAAAAAGGCAACTTTTATTAATTAATACCGTTTTCCCTATTATGCCATGAATTTTATAATACACTCCATTACCGGTTCTTAATCCTCAAAGCAATGGCGAACTCAGTCGCTATTAAGACTTTATTAATGGCAGAAGAATTAATTAGCGTGAGAATCCGTGAACAGGCCACAGCTTTCTCGTCGAACGTTTAATCTTTGAAAGTATCCTCCCAGTGATTATAACTTAGTTTACTTTCGTTCGCGATACATAAATCTGAAGAAAGCTCCTGCACCGTCTAAAGTTTCCCGCTTTCGATTTAATCGCTCCTCAGAGTATCTTTCAGCCTCCTTCGTACTTCTTCGAAATGCACCCAGCAATATTCGTAATGAAGTCTTTACGCTTAGGAATGTTTTATTCTCCGAGAGTTTTATGACGATTGCTCCATCTTTTCACTGATATTACCAAGAAACATCTTTCCTTTCTGTGGTTTCTTAATGCTTTCTGCTAATAATTATAATTCATATCTTTTTTTAATTATTTCAAAGAGTTGACAAAATTAAAATTAAAATGATATGCAATTATAATTATTTTAATTTAATTTTTTATTTTGCTTATTCATCAATTGTAAATATCAATTGTATGAAATTTTTGTTATGTAACCCTTTGTTACATAATTCTTTTTTTAAATGATACATTCAACTATAAATTAATATCCTTGTACATGTTTCGTGAGTTTTGAAAGAAGATAATTCAATTAACGATGCCTGTATAATCGTTCGTCGTCCTTCGAGCAAGAATTCAAAGATCAAAGTTAAGTTCTTAAAGCTCGACGTTGTAGAAGCATGGCGAGCAGACTGTAATAAGTAACCGGTCGTAATCCAAGCAGAAATCGATGGTGCAAGCTGTGTGTGAAGTTTCACGGATAAACCCTGCACCGCGAGGCAAATAGACGGCCAGACGAGGCGAAGGGTCGTGAACTTGCGTTGTTTCCTGAAAATTATGGGTATGGTTTCTTCGTAGCACATACCGGGTAGTGATACCTTCGGCTGTCGATCGCACGGCGAAGGAACATTGTATACAACCGGAAGTTGCAACAATACGGCATTGCCTTTGCAGGGATCCGTAGAAGGAAGAAATTAACCCTTTGCACTTCAGCTTCCAACCTGTTCTACAATGTTCCCTTAATATTCTTCTGAATGCCTTCTTCTGAATAACTGTAATTTCAATAGTGAATCATTTTTGATCGGTAAATGCATTTTCATCCAAATGAATTTTAGAAAGATCGAGCTTAATAACAAAAATTATTTCGAAAAAAATTACTAATGAATTTTTGGAAAATTTTTTAAATGACAGAAATCTTGTATTTTCATTATTTTTTAATTAATGCGCTTAATGAACCCCTTCCTCGATCTTTCTAGAATTAAAATTTCTCTGCCTAAACTATTAATGAAGGTAATTAAAAACCATCATCAGACGTACATACAATACTTTATTAATTTTTGCAATTGGAATTTCTTAATTGTATTTCAATTAGTGTTTCAATGAACAAACTCTACTCTTTTGTAACTTTCAATCGAAAACTTCTTGGTGGAGATGAGAGTCGTGCTTGGGAATCTTCTGAATCTGTGTTGCACGGTGCTAATCCAGTATTTTTATACTGATAACTGCCGTACATGTATCCACACAGGGGGCAGATCATTCGAACCTTCTTCGCGCGTTTCATCATTAGTGGCACGAAGCAGAGAGGCCAGCATCTATTAAAGATGTTAATTAACCCATTCAGTTAGTGGTACCCGCATAATTCGTCAGTATAACAATTTTAATATGGTTTGGTAATTGTACAGTATCGAGCAGAGTAGGCTTCCTCCCACCACACCCCATAGGTGGCCATGGGGAATAATAGTCTAAATTTTTATAAAATATAATACTTCTATTTCTGTTCCCTCCATTTTACAATATGAAAATAAGAAGAAAAATTGAAAGCATTTCGGCACAGCTTGTTTTGACAAAGTTCAGTGGTTGCAATGTGAACGGGGCAAATTCATGGACAAGTTAAACGAGTGGCGGTTTAAGTTTCGAGACCGCTCATTAATCTTTTATCCTGACGCGAAGAGCTGAACTAGCAGACAGCCAGCGTGAAATTAATTGTTGGCTACCTGTGCGCCGACCAAAACCGGCTCTGAATTCTGAATCATCGTCATTGATGCGTACCAAGTTAACCCGATCCTCAATTTGGGTGGCGCGGGAAGCGCTAAAATTGCAGAGTCCAATCAATTTAAAATTCTCAAATCATTATTAAATCTACTTTTTTTTTTTTTATTCCCCACAGAAGATTTATGATATTAATTCATTCCGTGATAAAAGTTCATTTCAAGTGAATTAAATTTAAGCCACTGTATAATAGGTCTTGGGTCATTCCATAATTGTTTTTGCATTTTTTATGGTATATATGACTGAACATATAAATTATTAAAGAAACAAATATTTTGAAAATGTAAAGAATAAATGTTTACAAAATTTCGACGTACCCTAAGAGACACAGAGCTCCAATGTGTGACGTTGTTAATTTGTCTCCTCGAGCGTGAAGCGTAGGTACAGCTTCCTTTTTACATCTTGGACAAAGCTTTTTCTCGTTGTGCGATTTCCACGTGTCTACTGTTAGGAAACAATAAATGACATCACATTTTTTGCACGATGCAAAGAATTGTTATTACAGAGGACGTACCACGAGTTGCATAGACTTTCCTTGGTTCGCTTTTCCGGTTGGTGCAACCAGTCCTCAGAGAACCCTTTGATGTTGTCTGTTTTGACACTGTCCTGGACTCTTTCTCCTGATATTTTGGAAAAATTCTTTAGTTTTGCATTGAAACATTTCAATCAATTCCAGAGACCAAGGTTGACCCATTATTTCATTTTTATTTATTGTATAATTTAAAAATTAGTAATTACATAATTTTATCAATAATCTTTTACAAAATTATGAAGCCTTTGGACTGAAATAGGCAGCAAAAAAATTCCTTGAATATTCATCAAATTTTATAATTTCTTGAATTTCTGTTCAAGATTTTAATTTAAAAAATTGATGATAAAATTAGAATAATTTTAGAATAAAAAATGAGAGAGTGATTAAGCTAAAATAGTTTTATTTAAATTGTTCATTTACATACCTGAGTGAAGAATTGGTTGGAATGTTTCGGATGAAATTCACGAATATGGGCGAGCAACCCATACGTGTCCCTCCCTTTATCGCTTACTCGTTTATCACACACGGGGCACCACGTAGCCACGTACGGCTATAAGGGAAGGAAGAAAACAATGTAAACGTACGACATCATTGAGTTTCTAACCTTGGTGATTTTTCGGGAAATCTCGTTTCTGTTGCGCCTTATGAAAGAAAGCGGAGAAAATAACCTGTGTTCCACATATCATACTTCTTTTTTCGCCGTAAGTTTGTTGGGCATTATGAGAAAAATGTTCGTCGTGGAGACTTTAAGTGACAGAACTACGATGATAAAGAGTGAATTTGTTCACTTATCGGAAAGAAAATTTACTGTGAATTTAGTTAGCTTTAGGGTGCAAAATGAAATTTTTTAGTAGGATCCGATCTGCCCAACTATTTCTTGCAAATGTATTCCAGTTACATCTTCCATAGAATACGATAAAAATGAGAAAATAAATATTATTTTCATAAATCAAACGGAGCAAGGGGAAAGAAAAAGGGGGACAGGGAGGGAAGAGCTTTGTCACGTTTCAGAAGTTAGTCACCGAGTCCAGAAGTGGTGCTCTACGGAAGCAATCTCCGAAGAACAGAGAGAGGGAAGGAGCTTTTCCTGAATGCGGTATGAGAAGTTCATGCCGGAGTCAAAAGTTTTAGACAAAGGCTCGCGCAAAATGCGCCCCCAAGTTCGCTGCTCCTCAGTTTCCGGAATTTCCTCAGTAGCCTATCGAATCTTAGATAATGCCTCCAAAAAGATTTCTAACTCTTCAACTTTTGAATGATGAACTTAGGCAACAACTGTTGAAATTTCATTCCTTTGAACCACCCCCTTTCTGGTACAGATAGATCTACCCAACTGAGCCTGAATACATTTATAAAATTTTATTGTGAATCATCCTAACTTACTCGAACGACGTCCATTTTGATCGCGACTGTACTCGCCACCATTTTGGCGTTTTAGCGAAGAACACGGTACGTGACAGCGTCAGAAAAAAGGAGATAATTCAATTAGAGGATGAACACGCGCGTGTCGGGTGGAAGCGGATCGCGCCGTTGGCAGTGGGTCAGAAAATCAGGTCACATGGAAGAGGCAGTAAGGAAAGGTTAGGTGGTAGGGGTTAGGTACCGCTATGCTCGTCTGGCGTCTTCGCACCTGGAGCTTCTTTCGCGTCGAGAGATAAAAAAAAAACAAAAAAAAGAGGAACAAATCGTTGCTGATGTGGGTGAGATGTATTGAAACCCACGCCCGTTACTTCGGATTTTCTCCCTACCTCTTTATACAAAATTCAACGGCTAGGGCGAATTTCGAGCCGGTGAAAAACTAGGGAAATTACGGGAACGTCGGGAAAGCTTTTAGACCAGGACACTGTCTCGACCGCGAATAAAATATTGAAAGCTCCTTGGACGAGGAATGTTTGCCTTTCTGCTTGATTCAAAGACCGTCGGTCGTGAAAAGATAGATTTTAAAGTAGTTAGGTATTTATCATTTTCATATGGGTTTCTGTCAGAACACTTTTTGAATTTCCACCTATATAGTAAATTTTTTGTACTGTAGGCAATAAGAACAAAAATCTTAATTTATAAAGAAATTTATTAATCTTTCGATACTTACAAATATTTTACAATTTAAAATCGTATTCATTGAGTAATAAACACTTGTAAAAAATTAAGTGTAACAGAAATCTGCAAATTACAACTTGTAACTTATAAATTCAGTAATAATTATTAGTTAGAGGTCCTCGGTGAGAACAGCAGCCTTGATTGCATCTACGATCCCTGTTCGCCAGCGAGTACGTGGTCACTGTAATCCTTTATCGCCCCGGCTTACCAATAATAAATATTATTATCGTTTATCGTGGTAGCAGGGGCGGACTAAGCCGAAGGCACCATTAGGGTTGCTTTATGCTGTCTTATCGCTGGCTAGCCAGAAGCTGGGAGACCACCGACCTCGACGTGTTACTTCTGACCATTTTTTTTTTCATTTATTAATATGAATTGCTATCAGCTTAGTATAATTCATAATCTTATAATAATAGTATAAAAGTTGGTGATAATAATTTTTAATTTGCATCACATATGAAACATTGAAATTAATTAAAATAAGTTTGCAAATTTTTTGCAGACATAAAATTAGAAATAATTAATCTAATATTGGATAGGAAAAATATAGAGGAGGGTATAAATATGATACTTCGTACTTTCAGCACGCTTTCATCGTCTAACAGCGTGAGTAATAGGAAAAATACGAGTAAACGAGAAGAAATTTATTGCCACGGTTGTTCTCGCTACGAAAAACCATCCGACGTATCTATAATAATGATTCTCCATTTGAAGTACTTTTCTCTTGCTTAGTTTTTACGAGGAGCGCTTTCAAGTTGTATGGCAGCGCTGTGATTGTAAATCGTGATAGGGGCGTGCAATACGACTTTCGCAATCACTTGGCATGAACTACGCCAAAGACCTGTTTTACATTCACTGCAAACATACTATGCAATCTAGGATATTATATAACTTTGTTCATCTAAAATGCAGTAGAACCCTGATTATCCATGGCACACATTTGCCCAATTAAGTAATTCTGTTTTCACATGAGAGATGATCATTTATTTTAAACGATCTTATTTCTGCTGAGACCCAGAAAATGATTAATTTCATTTAAAAGTATTCTTTTATATTTATTTTAATAAAACTAGAATAATTTTGATCTCTGTTCTTGTTTTTCAATTTAGATATAGTCTTCGCAGAAATATAGTTCGATCATAAATTCATCTGTTTTTTAAATAAGGATTATGATTGTAAAATGGTAGATAATTTTTATAATGTACATCATTTTTTGAGACAACCTGTACAAGTCAGTAGAGAAGTATTGCAACGTGATCTCTCTGATCGTGTGTTGCAGTTTCAGTCTGGTTAGACCCAGTGATTCTACGTCTTCGATTGTGTGGCTGTATCTCATCGAACGATCGAATCTAGTGAGAATAAGAATGCACGCCCGCGGATACACATCCATTTTCAGATGTCTGCGGGGCTGAGCGATAAGGTTAGCTCGTGAAATAATTAATTTCACGCCTCTGTAATCTCCGTGATCGGGCATCATCGATAAACTTTCTCATTTTTTTGTCTTCTTATTTCTTCTATCGAAGGAGCGATGATAATTCGAGAACGCGTTCCCAAGATTATCGTCCCGCCATTTGTCATAATTATCTTCCCAGCAAATTTTCCCATGAATCATGATTTACCTGCTGGATCGAACCTCTGAATATATTTCTGGTAGAATAGAATAGATCGTATGTAGAACGAAATTTATATTCTTATCAGTTTTCGAATGTTATTAGTATTCATATGAAAAATTACAGACTTACGTCGTTTTCATTTCAGTCAAATAATAAAAAGAATTTTTGAACTTAAGAATAAAATAAAATGGAGATAAGGCAGCTTTAATAGTAATTAGTATAAAATTTTAATTTCAATATTATTTAATTCAGCCTTATTTCACGAATTTTGTATAGTTGATGGTTAACTATGTCTCATCCACTATACCAGACAGCCGGCTGTCATCTCTTTCCAGAATCCTATGATTACTCTCTGCTAAATAAAATGGTATAAAGAACCACGGTAACGCGAGTACGTACTCCGTGGATCGTGATGGGCCAGGTTTATCCCCGCGCCCACTGAACATTCAGCTTCCGAGTGTACCGCAGTCAAAGGGTTAATCTCGCGAAGAAGATAACAGCGACGAACCATCCGAATATCTACATCTGCTGACCCTATGGGGCAACCGATCCCTATCTACCCGACAATTTGTACCGGAGGACGCAGTCGAACGAACCCGAGTGTCTGATGCTACCCGGTGATTAGATTCTGATAGTTGCGCTGTGTCTAACGGGACCGAGTCGGTGGGCAAAGTAGATCCGTCGTGGCCTTTTCATCTCCAACCGATGGACATCTAGGGTCAGCTTACCATTGGCACGTATACACGTGGCCAGCTCCCTAGAGACGTGGACAATTTAGAGTCGTGAGCTTACCCGTGTCGATTCACTCCTACTCATCGTCGATGTTATTTCCTCCCTCGATCAATTCTACCCTAGGTCGTTCACCTGAAAGGTAGTTTTATTTTATGAATTTTCGGTAGCTCGTGCGTGGAATATATGATGGTTGATGGTTGATAATGTTATAGGTAACTAGGTTAGGTTAATGTTATAATTAATAACAGGGCCGGCGCGAGGCAGGTTCAGCGCGTTCGCCAGAACCCGGCCTCGCGTTTTGAAAAGCCCCGCGGTTTACAAAAACTCGCGGTTGAAACTAATAAAAATTTATCTTCAGTCATCAATAAGCCAAGACCGATTTACATCTCTGGCTATTCTTTCAATAAAAAGCGAAGTAACCGATTCAATCAATTTTGATGACGCAATCAAAGATTTTGCGGCTAAAAAAGCGAGAAAAATTATGTAATATTCATTTTACAAAAAATATACATACGTAACATCCTTTCTACTTATAATAAATAATTCCTTATTGTGAAATTTAAGTATAGGATTTGAATGTGTATTCTGGCTCCACAAAATTTTTGGAACCAGGCCCCGCAAAAGGACACGCCGGCCCTGATTAATAAGGTTAGGTTATCAAATAAATTTATGGCACCCTATAGAATATTTCAACAACCAGTTCTCCGCGTTGTTTACCAAGTGTAAACAAAATGGAGGCTTGATGTTGCAAAAGGCAATATTTGTAATGTCTTAAACTTGTTCGATGGTAATTCTTGAGTGAAATTGAGTGAAACTTAGCGCGGGTAGCTTCCGGAAGGAAACTTTTAATTAGGGAAATTCCTCTAATATGCTTTTGTTCGGTATGGACACAAATGTTCCAAGGAAGGAACAAAGCGGAATTCGGTTGAAGGAGTTTGCGCAGTGACGAGTTTTCGGTGTACGCCCATGACTTCTTGAACAATCGCCCATTACTTTGGCACGGAGCTTTGATCGTCGTCCTGTGATATCGAATTAAGCTTGAAGGGGGGTCCTTTCGAAAGCAACGAACAAAGTATGCACCTACAAGTACAGGCAAATTGGTTTGGCTCTTAGCGAACTCACTTTAAGCCGCGGTCTTCGTTTCAACAAGTTGGTATAAGATTTTTTCCATTTTCTCAAATTTTTAATAAACAAGGATCCTTTAAAGTTTCTTAGTTTCACTTCATGAGACCCCAAGATTAATTATTAGAAATTTTATGTAACTTGTATCTACGTACAAGGGGTTCTATCGTTTGCATTAAGTAGAATGACCAACGTTACACCATTCATTTTCATTGTGAAGGTTAGTGCAAAACGTGAATTTGCAC